TGTTTGCCGAGTATTAAGGTTTTGTTCAGTAATACAATGCTGAACATAAATATTTAGTTCAGTAATACAATGCTGAACATAAATATGTTGTTCAACACTGGAATACCTAACGGTTTCATTTTGTAGGATTTTTCCCCCTATTTCTATATTTTCTGAGGGTTTTTCCCTCTATAACCCAGGGTTTTACCTCAAAATAAACAAAAAAATATATATATATATATATGTAATAGGGAGTTGGAGGTTACCTAAGAGAAGAAGAAAGAGACTGTCGAAGAGATTTCCGACTGAGATACTGTTGTTCACAATGACAAGGAGGAAGAGACCATCGTTTATGACAGAAGGAGAAGAGAGAGACAGTCGATTCATCTCTCAATCGTTTGTTGTTCTCAATCGTTTCTCAATTTTCATCGCTTACTGAGAGAAGAAAAAGAGGTGGTGTGCACTTGGGTGTGACGATATTATGAATATGGATAAAATTGGTATTAAGTGGAGTGTTCAAAAAACTTTTATTAAAATTTAGGGTTTAAGGTGGGGGTTCAAAGAAATGGCTGGTCCAAATAAATTAAGTAGGTGCTAATAGTAGCCCTCAAGAGTTTTTGTTCCTTCCAGCCCCATTAATTTTTAATAGACGAAATTACCCTTCAAACAATGGTTGTTCATCATTTCTAATTGTTTATAAAAAAAAGTATGGTGATGTAACATTTATTTTGATCTTCAAAACTTCAAATCATCATAATTTTTACAATGTAAATTTATTTTTGATAAAATTTATATTTTTAGAATCAACACAACGAAATCTATCAAATAAGATTAATATTAAGTACAAAATTATATAAAAATTAAAATTTGTTTTTTATTAAAAATTTACAATTTACACCATTTTTAATTGTAAGTTTTAACTTACTTAACTAACAATATTTTTTTGATCTAATTTTTTAGTTTTTTTTTTAGGTTTAAAACTGAAAATATTCTCAACTTAAAATTGGAGAAACTAACTCAGTTTTAAAGTTGGAAAAAATTGAGAAATTCCCCAAAAATTGAGAATATTCACAGTTAATACTGAAAAAAGAGAAATTTCTCAATTTTACTGGATAATTTCACAAACTGAGATATGATTAGTTTTGTAAGGCTAAAAAAATAATATTTTATTTTTATAAAATTTTATATTAAGTATTGGTCTTATTTGATAAATCTCGTTGTGTAGACTCCAAAAATTTAAATTTTATTAATTATGACATTTTTAAGTTTTGAAACAACAAAATAAACGTAAGATGCAACATCAACAATACCATTTGAATAATAGAAAATATTTGGTACTTTTGAGACATGGTTAGGTGATTACCAAAAGTTGTGTATGTAGAGAGGGTGGTGCCCCAATTTATATTGGAGCATGAAGCATAATGCTGGGTGATTGGTGGATAATATTGTCATGTATTGCACTTGTAACGCCTAATAATTTTTTATTAGCACTTAATGAATTGACACTTCTCAATTCTGTCTGCCTTTTAATAAGGGTAAAACAGTCATATATACATAAATATTTTGAAAATAGGACTTCATGTGTTAAAAAAATGGTAATTCTATTTACACCTTAATTACTCTCAGTTCACACCATTCTTCATAATTTTTTAATTGCAACTTTATCTTCAATCAAATATCCAAATTGCCCTCATCTCTATTCCATCCCTTCATCAACAAACCCAAACCTAACATATTGACAGCCGCCACCACCGACCAACCATCACCGATTGGCCAACTACCACCATCACGAAGTCATCTTCACCGTTGTTGTCGATGCTCTCTTTCTTCCTCTTTCATTTCCGTTGTTGCAGCCATCACCACTCTCCTTTGCAACTTGTCTTGCTGCCATTGCCGCTTTGCCTTCCTAGTCCATCGCTGCTGCCACCATCCCGTAATCACCGCCATTACAATGACCTATCCCCATCGCGCTTTTCATCATGTAGATACCACCACCATCGCAACTCGCCTACATCTGATGACCAACCATGCGCAGTCCATAGAGAGAGATTTGTGGGGTTGTGACGACTATGCATCGCGGCAATGAGACAGTGGTGAGTGGTTGTAGGGGCGAAGATGAGGGTTGTGATGAGAAGGGGAGAGGGGTAAAGGTCGGTGGCTGACGGCCAGTGATGTACAAGGTTTTGGGTTAGGGCTAAGATCGAAGACAATGAGAATAATTTGGTATTATTAAAAAATTAGTAGTGTGTATTGAGACAAAATTAAAAACTTTAATTTGTGTATGGTGTGTACTGAGCAGGTGGTGTGTACTGAAGGGATTTGTAGTGTGTAAATAGTATCACCCTAAAAAAAAAGGAAGGAGAACTTAATGGAATATCAACCTTATCAATAAGACTTTTAGATGATTAACCCTACAAAATAACACTGTAAAACTAATCATTTCAAAAGTTCTTCCCAAAAATTCTAAGTGAAACAAAAACCTTATAAGTTATAAAAATCTCCTTGGAACCGCTACTCGAACAAGTCCAGATCTTCTATAGTGTTTTTTTCTTGTAGTGTTTGTGTAGGGCTCCAAAATGACGTCATTTTGGTGCGTGCACAAAAAACAAAAACGAAACGAAATGAAATGAAATGTAGAAGAGAAGAAAAAGCCAAAGAGAAGAAGATCCACAGTGCAAACAGAGCACTTCTTCACCTTCCTTTCTCACAATCGACCACCATGACCACCTCTGGCAATCACCTCTCATTTCCCCTCCCCTCCCTCTCTCTTCCCAAAATCTGCCATTAACATCTTTGGCAACCCCCCGCCTACGAGATCCACCTCATCTTCCTACTGTAGCCCCACCCCTACCAATTCTTCCCCTATCTCAACTCCGACAAGTCTCTTTAACCCATTCCTACCCTCACTCGCCCCTTCCAAACTGCCATTGCCGCCACATGCTCTCTCTATCTCTATCTCTATTTTGATCTTGCCAGCGCTAGTGTTAGCGGGGTTAGTAGGGTAGTCAAATAGTGGAGGGGTAGTATCAGTCAAGCACATTCTTCTTCTCCTCTCTCTCTCTCTCTCTCTCTCTCATCTATAGGTCTTTTCTCTGGTGCTTCTATACTTCGCTCTTGCGTTTCGTTTCAAATTTTTTTTTTTGGGGATGTGTAACAAAACGACGTTAATTTAGTTTTGCATGTGGCATTTATCCGTGCAAAATTCTAATGGTGAATGATAGTGAGACCACATTGCAACAAAATTGAAAATATAGGGTTTAAATTGAAACTATAGTGACTAAACTGACATTTCGTTTAAACTATAGAGACTAATGGTTGTTCCTTAACCTCAAAACCCTTTATTTTAAATTCTAGGGATAATTACACCAAAAAAAAAAAACCTCCAATGCTTGACCCTTACAACAATATAAACTCCTAGTTTTCAATTTTATCAATTTAAATCTTAATCTTTTAATTTGTTTTCAATCTAAATCATTTGTCTACTTTTGTTAACTAAAATTGACCCCCCAAAAAATAGTATTTTAGTTTTTAAATTTAATGTAGGTATACATAAAATGTCTAAAATACCCATTTTCATTGAGTTCAATGGCTAATATACCCATTTATCTATTGATTTTACTTAACAAAAATAGGTAAATGATTTAGATTGAAAACAAATAAAAAATTCAAGTTTTAAATAGACAAAATTAGAACTCATGATTTATTTTGTTACAAGGGTCAATTTTTTTATTTATTTTTTTATTTTTTTTGGTGTAATGTCCCCTAAATTCTTCAATCCAAAATACAATCTTAGTATTTTTAAATAAGGGGACTTACATGTAAGTCCTAATATGTAGACTTATTATCCAATATGTCCTATGAAAATTAATGGTGTTTTTCATGAAACACTATTAAAAATACATCACTAATTGCTAATTTTCAACGACAGTTTAAAAAATTTGTCACAAAAAAGTTCATAATTATAAATTTTAATGACAGTTTAAAAAAATCATCACAAAAAAAAAGTCACTAATTGTTAATTTTTAGCAACACACTAAAAATCGTCACAAAAAATTATTTTTAGCGAGGATTTTAGTAGGACTTGATGGGAATTAAGTCAAACTATTAGGACTTATTGGTAGTTTACCCTTCAAATAATTTGGTCAAAGTTCGCAAAATTACAATCCAATTCCTATTAGTTTAGCTATATTTTTAGTCAAAAGAAATAGGTTAAATTATACATGTAGTCTCTATACTTGCCTCTCATGTCAATTTGGTTTTTGTAATATTAATTTTGCTTTTTAATTTTTCAAATTGTGTCAATCTAGTACAAGTGATAATAGCCGTTAAAAAATTGAATAAAAATCAAAGGCAAGGGAATGAATCATTTGAAATTGGATGTGAATCCTTCAATAACTTTGAGGCCATGTTTGTTTGGGTGGACATGAGCTTGGGATTGGACTAATAGTCTAATAAAATTATTAATCCGATGTTTGGTTAAACAATTGAAGTACGGATTAATTATTTTAAACTTGACTATTAGTTAAGATAGGATACATAATCCAACGGATTCGTAGTCCTAGGACTATTAGTCATGGGAATGCTAATCCAGTCCGCCTAAACAAACATGGCCTGAAGGGAATTAAAAAACCATTTTGTCCCTCAATTTTAGTCCAATTTCTAAATGAAATATTATCAATTTGACTAACTTGATGCCATGTGCAAAATTAAAAGGTAAAATTGATGCAATTAAAATTATAAGAACCAAATTGATATAAACAAACTACTAGAATTAACAATAATTTGTCTGAAGAAATACAACATAAAAATGGAAATTTGTTCCTAAATACTAATTAATTTCAAGTGTAGCTTGACGTTCTTATTTTTGCATCCAACAACATATTCAATCCAAAATATGTTGTGTTCGCATTATAGCCCAAAAGGTCAATGAAAATAGCAAAATAATAAATAAAATTTATAGACGCCCCACAACAATGAAGCTTAAATAAATAAACAAATAAGCTTAAGTCAAAGAAGCATACCTGATTGAAGAGAGGCTGAATAGTATCGTAATTGCTATCCGAACTATTGCAAAAACTATTGAGCTTCGGTATCTCACACAGTATCAGCTGGTTCAATTGCAGCAGCTCAATTCCATTCACAGCCTTGCAGAGAGCAATAAAACTTGGTAGGCCTCTAAGATACAATTCCTTCAGTTTAGGAAAAACAATTTTATCTGTTGTTTCTATTGTTGTTGATGCTATCTCATTTTGATCTCCTTCTTCTTCACTCGAAATAAGTACTTCCATCTTACGACATTGAGATACATCAAGTTTCTGTAGTTGCATCAAATCTCTGGCTATGGATAATGAGAACATGCTTTCCAGTTTATGACATCTCGTCAGTTCTAGGGAAGTGAGGTTGCGGAGCCGTACAAGTTGAGTAGGACCCTTCCACAAATGTGTCAATGCGGGCAAGTCCCATAGGTCCAGCCTTTTCAACGCACCGAAGGCCTCCTCTGGTAGTTGGCCATGAAAAATCTCTTTCAGTGTATCTAAATGACCGACACATAGCCACTGTAACACAGGGAAGGCTATTTGTGGAACCAGAACCCCATCTGTTGTGTCAATGACATATTTCAGATCCTGACAATATTTCAAGAACAATTCTGTTAATGTTTTTGAAACCATCTTTGTCTAAATCATAGCCAACATTCTTCACACCTACTGCCCGCATTATTTCTAAAATTTTAGTGATCTTGAAAAGATTCTTGAACTCATCAGTCTCCATAAGATCGCTCTTGAAAAGTGTTCCATAAGGCTTTTTTTTATTTAACTTTTTTTTTTTCCTTCTTTCATTTAGTATAAATAAACTTAGATCTCTTTATCTGTGCATATGATAAATTGTTACATAACTTTATTTTGTTGAATTTTTATAACTTATTTTTAATTTATTAATTTCAAAAATTAGAAATTAGTTTGATAAAAATAATTATCAAAATTAAAATTTTAAAATTTCTAAAATTATTTTTCACCCAAAAAAGAGAACAATATAAAAATAATCAGTATGTTTGGTTTCAGTTTTCTGAATTCAGTTTTTTGAAAACTGAGCTTTTTTATTTTTCGTATTTTTTTGTTTTTAGTGAATATTTTTAAAATTTTAAGTAATTTTTTTACTTTTTTAGATGCACCTTACTTAGATGTATCTAAATAATAAAACATTTGTGAAAAAATATTTTTAAAAATTAATAAATACACAAAAATACAAAAAAAAAAAACTGAATTTTCATATATTTTTTTATATTTTTTGGTATTTAGTGTATTTTTTTAATTTTTTTTCACAAATATTATACTTTTTAAGTGTGTTTATGTTAGGTGTATCTAAAAATTAAAAAAAAAAATTACTTAAAATATTAAAAAAAATTCATTCAAAACATTAGAATACGAAAAATAAAAAAGTAAAATTTCCTGAAAACTGTTTTCTAAAAACTGGAAGCAAACAAGCTGAATGGGTTTTTTTTTTTTTTTACCAAACTAATTTTTGATTTTTTTGAAAAACAAATTGTGAAAACTCAATCAAACAGATTGAATAAGGGGTTTATTAAATTTTTAATGGTAAGAAAAGACAAAAAAATACATGTTAATATTTAAAAATAAATTTATTCTTTTTGTATATTGTTCTTTTTCAGAACTTTGCAACTTAGAGTTGTAGCACAAGTTTCAAAACAAGTTTAAAAACACATAAACTACAGTACCTCATACAACCCTCTGAAGTGAGATGGGTCACATCTTTTGTGAATTCCACACTTACATAAAAAGATTATATTTTCAGTTCTATAATTAATTTTTGCACTGGTAAAAGAACTATTTCTAAGTTTTGGTAAATCCATATAAATTTTTATTTTATTTTATTTTATCATGAAAGAACCTGCTTCTTAATAATCACTTATTTACTTGAACGTTTGATTGTAAATTTAGATAATAATTAGGGCACAATTTGTAATTAATATTATTTTTACTAATAATTTATCACTAAAGAGATCTAAGTTCTTACTAAACAAAAAAAAAAACAAAAACAAAAAAAACAAAAAAGAGTTTAAATAATAATAAAAAGCCTTTACGGTGCACTGGCTTTTTTTTTTTCTTTATTTATTTGTTTCCTTTCAAATAAAAGAATCCCCACATTATGGTGGCCGCCATATCGATTATGATAAATTTTTGAGTAAATCTCGGAAGCTCCCTAGACTTATTGATAATAATAAGAAGAACTGGAATCTAAAATAATCAATTAAATCCAAAAAAATGAAATTTAATAATCTAAAATAATTCATCAAGTGAAACTAGCATATGAAATAATTTTAAAAGGACTCAAGGTGATCTTCACTGTTCACATAATTAAATATGAGTCAAAACAATTAAATGTGGGCTAATCAAATAAAATTTAAAAATTAAATTTATATTCAAATTTAGTACTCCTTTTTTGAACGAAGACTTAATACTCAAGATCCAAAAATAATTAAAACTGAAAAAAAACTGCCGAGCAGGCCTCACGAAGTTGAAATGAAAAAGTAAATATAATATGTTTTCATCATGAAAAAGTAAATAGAATGATCCACCACACAACTATAATCATAATGACAAACGTAATTAAGCAATACAGAAATTAGTATCAATCCAACTCTAAATAATACCGGATATCAAAAACACGGAAAGAAAATTGTTAAACAAATACTGATAAAAATATATTATCAATCCAACTCTAAATAATACCGGATCTCGAAAACGCACAAAGAAAATTATTAAACAAATACAGATAAAAATACAAATCGGGTTTAGATCCGACTCGTTACAATCTCAAGTCAAAGAAGCATACCTTATTGAAGAGAGGTTGAATAGTATCGCAATTGCTATCCGAAGTATTGCAAAAACTATTAAGCTTTGGTATCCCCCAGAGTATCAGCTGGTTCAATTGCAGCAGCTCAATTCCATTCATAGCCTTGCAGAGAGCAGTAAAACTTGGTAGGCATCTAAGATACAATTCCTTTAGTTTAGGAAAAACAATTTTATCTGTTGTTTTTGATGCTATCTCATTTTGATCTCCTTCTTCTTCGTCGCTCGAAATAAGTACTTCCATCTTACGACATTTAGATACATCAAGTTTCTGTAGTTGCATCAGATATCTGGCTATGGATAATGAGAACAAGCTTTCCAGTTTATCACATCTCTTCAGTTCTAGAGAAGTCAGGTTGCGGAGCCGTACAAGTTGAGTAGGACCCTTCCACAAATGTGTCAATGCGGGCAAGTCCCGTAGTTCCAGCCTTTTCAACGCACTGAAGGCCTCCTCTGATAGTTGGCCATGACAAATCTCTTTCAAATTATCTAAATGATCGAGACGTAGCCACTGTAACACAGGGAAGGCTATTTGTGGAACTGGAACCCCATCTGTTGTGTCAATGACATATTCCAGATCCTGACAATATTTCAAGAACAATTCTGTTAATTTTTTGAAACCATCTTTGTCTAAATCATAGCCAACTTTCTTCACACCTACTGCTTGCGTTATTTCTAAAATTTTAGTGATCTTGAAAAGATTCTCGAACCCACTCTCCATAAGATTGCTCTCGTGAAGATCCCCGAGACTCAACTGGTTTTGTAATTGATAATCACAACTATCTCTAGTAAAGATCATAGGGCTAATGGTTATAGCGAATGCTTTTAGATTCGTAAGGACCAAGTCTCTTGGCCAGTATGCAAAACGTTGTAGGTGAATGACCAAAGTCGTAAAATTAGACAACCCACACAGCTCAGTCAAAGTTGCTTTAGTTTCTTCTATCCTGTGTTCATCATTAAAGCTAGACCCAAGATACAACTCTTCTAGCTTTGATAAGCTCAACAAAACACCTGGGCAAATCCTCTTCACACCACTTCGCAACAAATCCAGTAGCTTCAAGTGACTAAGCTGACCTATTTCTTTTGGCAACTCATCAATTCTAGTGCCTTCGAAACCCAAAATTTCTAGATTCTCTAATGCCCCTATTACAGATACATCATTGATCTGTCCGCATTCGTATAGTGACAAGCTTCGGAGGTTGGTCAACCATCGCAGTGATGTCGGCTGTGATCCTTTTATGTACACATTCAACATGCTTAAAGCTTTGATTTCCTTCATCCCTCCGTAAAAACTATCCGGTAGTTTTGATGTATAATTGTGCTCTAGCCGTAAAAGATGGAGTTTTGGAAATTCTAGATTATCAGGCAGCTTGCTCATACCAGTGCATCGCAATGAAATTACAGCGTAATTTTTGTGTCGTTCTTTCTCCGGCCATTCTTTCAATGCTTCGTCACATCTTACCATAAATGAATGCTCCTCCCTGGATGCTATTGATATAGCAACATCACGAACTACATCATGCATTTTAACACAACCTCCTCCATCGCCATCCATCAAGAGATAGCCTTTTTTTAACTCATCAACAAAGGCATGTACTCTGTCTCTTGCTTCGTTGACGCTATCAATGGCCTCAAACAACTCTATCCCAACTCCATATCTAACAAGATCTTCAATTGGAATATTAAAATCTTCTGCATACAAGGAGCAAAGCAAAAAGCATTCCTTAATTTCTCTACTTCCTAAGAAGTTGTAACTCAACTCCAGAGATTTGAACACCTTTTCTTCTACTCCCCTGATGTTTTTTACCATGGACTTGCGTAACTGTAGCAGGGCTGAATTCCATGAGTGCCTATCTTTATCTTTGAGTGCCCTCGCAACTGTAACAATAGCAATTGGCAAACATCCACATTCATCCGCAACTTTCTTCTGTGTGATATACAAATCAGTACTTGTGTGACTTGTGTCATTGAAAATTCCAGCCATCTCCTCAAAGAGATTCCATGCTTCTTCTTCAGTTAAGACTTCAACTGTAAATTTCTTTTGAGCATCCATATCGTTGCATATATTATCAAATCTAGAAGTCAGCAAAATTTTGCAACCTCTATGACCATCTCCAAATGGAATTCCTATGTCATTCAGTTCAAGACGCTCCCAAACATCGTCCAATATGACAAGGATTCTCTTGGTGCCCCTTATTCTTTCACGTAGTCGATCTGCTCTTCCACGTTCAGTCTCCACCCTAAATTCCAAACCCAATTTATCTCCAATTTCACCTTGAATCTTCCTTTCATTAGGACTTTGGGACACTACAGCCATCACAACCTCATCGAACAATTTCTCTTCTTTTGCTCTTTTGGCAACTTCTTTCACCATTGTTGTCTTACCAACACCTCCCATCCCACATATCGCAATCATGTGGAATCCATCATACTTCAGTGCCTCCATGACATCATTCGTAATCAATCTTCTAGATTCAAAAACTTTAATACCTTCAGTGGATGTGGATTCTATCCATGGTGGAGGCTCATTGTAGGCCACTTGTGTCAATTTCCGCTCTTCGTGCAACTTAGCCGCCTCTTTTGCCTTGTTGGTTGCTTTCTTACCGAGCGAGTAACGTAACTTCAGGTTTGGACACCACCCATATAGACATCCTTTGTTTGCTTCAACTTTAACTTTTAGAATTTCTCTGGCCTCTTTGCTGCATTTATCAACCCTTTCCAGCCACCCCTTAACATCAGGTCCAATAACTTTTACATTTCTCTCTGCTTCATCAACTGATAGCTGCATTGCACCTCTTTTCTCATCCAACTTCTTGACTTGATCTTTCAGATTCTTGACCTTGCTTTTATAGGAAAATAGATAACCAAAATGACGGCCAACTGGAGCCATTAGAAATTCTCCAATCTTGCCTACAATCGGACCAACAAAACCAACCCAACCAGTAGCCATTTCTCACTTCTATTTCAGTTATGTACCTCTCTCTGTTTCTTTTCTCTTTTCTTTTTTCTTTTTTCTTTTTTTCCTTTTTCTGGAATGCAATATGTAAAACCAGAAGAAAACAAATAGCTATTGAAAACAGAATGGTAATTGTTGAACACAGAGTTAAAATAGAGTGGCAGAGGAAGAGGTTACAAAGATTTCTAGAACAGAGATTTCTTTCTCCTGCAACAAAGAGAAATACAATTTTGTAGAGGATATGAAGATATCAAAGGAACATTTTGCAAGAGGGGATCTAAAGGTTTTTTTTTTTTTTTTGGACAAGCAAGCTTGAATATAGACAATTACAATATAATTGAACAAAGAGAACTTGTGTTGTAAAACAGAAATTGCAAAGAAGAAAGTGAGCTTAGTAAAATGAAAACAGAATGTAGAGAATACTGATTTGGTAATTGTTCAACACAGAGTTAATAAAATAGATTTACAGAGGAGAAGATTACAAGTTTCCTAAAAAAAATCAAAAGAGAATACAGGGAAATTTTTTTTTTTTTTTTTGGGGTAAGCAAGGCATAAATTAAAGACAATAAATTTACAAGTTTATAAGAGGCATACCCAGGCACGGCCAACAGCAAATAAAAAAACTAACATAGCCAAACATAAACTACCACTGCACCCCCCTAAGAAAGGAGGGATAAACAAGAACAACTGAAGACATAATAACCCTGCGTGTGTTTTGCTTTTCACCAAAGACAAACAAGACCATTAACATCCATCAAAGAGAAACAATCAGATTCAGAGAGGTTGTGACGGAGTGTTTGAGGAGGAGAGAATATTTTGAGATCAGACCAATACCTAATCCCTGCACCATCTGATGCTCTTACATCTAAAATTAATTTTTTATTGATTGTTAGAAGGATATCTTGTGAATATTCGTTGCTTCCTTACGTGTGATATTTTGTGATATTTTTTGTGAATATTCGTTGATATTTTGTGGATATTCGTTGATATTTTGTGATATTTTTTATAATAAAAAAAATTGTTTTTTTAAGAATGGTATATAATATTATTTACCGCACTATAATCTAATTTTTGGTTTGGGAAGTAGGTTGGCTTTTTGGCTTTTTGGCTTTTTTGGCTATTTTAGCCTGGGCTAAAAAGCTTGGTTTGGGAAGGGCTTTTTGGCTTTTTGGCTTTTTTGACTTTTTTTGTGAGAGAAGAATGTAATGATTATAGGTTGGATGTGATGTTTTGTTTGTTATGGCTAAAATAGCCTATTTTGTTTTTTGTGGCTAAAATAGCCAAAAAAGCTTGAAAATCAACTTGCCAAACAGAGGCTTAGCGAAGTGGAGGTCAGCAATGGTGGACACAGGGCCGGCAAGGGGGGCTACTGCCCTGCAAATTATTTCAAAATTTTAGGTAATATTTTGCATTTGCCCCTTAAGCCTTTAGCGTATAATTTGCGAAGTGTTGGCCCCTGCCTAAAAAAAAAAAAAAAAAAAAAAAATTCTTCTTCAAAGCCTCAAATTGCTTCCAGTCTTCCATTAGAGTTATCCTACGATACTATATATATTATGTAAATTATAGTCTAAATTAATGTTAGTTACAAGTCATTGTGTCTAGAAGTGATATTGATTACCATTCATTGTAATTTTTGGTTACTATTAAAATAATCTTTAGTTATGACTCAAATTGGTGTTAGTTATGATCCATATTTATATGTTATCATTTTAAAAGACAACAACTCTTAATAAAAAAATAGAGAAAATTATATTAAAAAAAAAAGTAAAGCAAATGAAAGGGAGAAAAAAAAAGTAAAGTAAAGTAAGAAAAAAAAGAGTGCATGTGTTCAATATTTTTATTCTATCTAAATAATTATAATGACTAGAGGGTTAATGTAATTTTCTAAATATCAAAGAATGATAAGTATTAAACATAAACCTCAATAGCGTATGTGTAAGTTACCCTTGAAAAAAATAAAAATACTAAACTCAGGCTCTTTGGATTGAGACGCTTAGCAATACTATTTTTTCAGCTTAAACAAGGATTTTAACAATCCAATGCACCGAGTAATTACCCTAGTATATTTTTTTAATGGTTCTAGCATAATTCATCATTAAGAGTATGTATTCCCAGCTAAGAACGTTGTCACAATACACAGAAATCCACATGATTGGAATTTGGATTACTATGCCCTTGGCGTGCACATATTAGAGGTCCTTCAGTTGAAGAGGAGGTAGCAAGACATGGATTTCCTCAATCAAATTGTGCCAAAGCCTGACATAGACAGTGGCTACTGAACTCTTGACCAAATTGGATCAGACATACCTAAATCTGTATATGGCTGCCTTTATTATTCACCACCCGTGATTAATTGCTATTTATCACTACTTACATTTCCTGCCCATTTCTTACCAAATTTTTAACTAAAAGAATGAATTATCCCTTGCTAAAGCATATTGCCATATTATTATTCTTAGGGTCAGATTAGGATGTTCTTTAACACAATCAAAACCACTTTCACTTTTCAATATTAACAACAAAACCAAACCATGTTAGATGATGGCGGTGAGGGAAGTTAAAGACCACGGTTAATATCATAGTTGTGGTGTACAACAACTGTCACGACCCCAAACCGCCCCTAGTAGTTTGGTGCCGTGATGACCAGTAATCCGAGATTACCGAAGGCCAACTTTCAAAAGTTTAACACAAACAGAGTATAATATACGGGGCTCACAAACGCGGAAGCAATAAATCAAAATACAAGTGGTCCAAAAGAGCTGTGCATAGATCAAATGCAATGACATACATGACATAGTTTCTCATTCGGTTGAAAATAAATGAAATACATATCAGAATCTTGATCAAAAGGCTTCTAGAGCCGACAAGTGCAAATACAATGATTACAAGCCAAAAAAGCATAATCTTCAAGATTCGCCGACGTAAATACAAATTTTCCAACATAGAACAAGTTAAGCCGACATGACAAGAATCCAAAACAAGCTTTGCAAAACACATCTAGGCGTCGCCGCCGTCCTGCTCATCACCTACATATATATAGAGAGGGTGAGCTTGGATACTCAGTGAATGGTACTAGTAATAAAGGTTTTGCATGAATATAGCCGAAGTCTTTTCCAAACAAAACATGCCAAAAACCATACGAGTATTAGCCGAGATCCTTTCAGAGCAAAACACATCAAACTTTATCAAAACAAGAGATGAACTGTATTCATCTATCAAGTCTTACAAGTCTCAAGGGATGCTTTCTGACATCGGCAAAACTCAAATCAAGCTTTCCGAACAAACAAGTCCACGCGGTAAACCGTCAGTGGCAAAACAAAGACTGCACGATCCGTAATCGATTAGTCAAAGGTACTGTGAAAGTTTATAGTCCTCCAGCACAAGGGACTTGTGTTACTTAAGCCCGTAGCTCCTTTTAACACGATGGTCTTGTGTTACTTAGGCCCGTAGCCCACTTTAACACGATAGTCTTTCCAAGAAAGGACCGTATCCTTTTTTACTTAGTGCTGCGAAAGTTTAGAGTCCTCCAGCACAAGGGACTTTTCAAGGATGACATCAAAAACAAAGCTTATACTTGATACATCAAAACAGAGCTATTCATTCATGCTTAACAGATACTTTCGTCAAAACAAAGCAAAGCAAGATTTATCAAAACAGTATAACATAGCTTTATCAAAAATACCACTCACATAGTTCTCCTCGGGTGTAGGTTCAAAGCAAAGATCAAGGACCTACAATCACATGGCAATCACATTCTCAAAACAAGCTTTATATGCATGCAAATGATCCCGGCATTCTCACCAGATCCAAGTCAATAGCAAAGCAAAACATGCTGGGAGTTTAAACACTGCTCCCGTCTCATGAAAACACACTGGGTACCAACCAGGTCTTTGCTGAGGTCCTACACCTCCTTGCCGAGGTGTGGTCCCGATGGCTTCATTCAAAAGCAAAGTCGGGAAAACCTGGGTTTCCCTTTGAAAAACACGAAGAACATGATCATGAGGAAGATGAATGCAAGATCATAACTTGTTACAAAAATCTGAGATTTCATGCCATGAGTTCAAAACATGGACCTGGGTACCCATACAAGAAGGTCATGCAAGAACAAACACAAAACATGGTTCTTGTTCTAAACTTTCGGATTAAAACGAGACTTTTCTTCAAGAACACATGAATACTATCTTTCTCTTCCGAAACCAACTTCAAATCGATGCATGACATGCAAAACAAATTCGATCATGCAATGCAGCTAGATGATCAATAACAACAACCTGAGTAGATTAAGATTCTTACCTCAAAGCTCGAATCTAACGGTTCAAACCTCGAAGATCAAGCTTGGAAGATCTATTCTCACTCAAGAATTCTACTCCCTTCTCTAGAGCTTCTCTCTCTAAAGACAAAGATTTGAGACCAAATGATTTGTTTCTAGGTTTGCCGGCTGTCTTAACAATCAGCTCGGACACGTGGCGCTACCGGGTTGGTTCAACTCAAAAAGGTGATTGATTGATAAGACAAGTCTCTGACAAAGCGTATGCAGCAAGCTAAGGCAAGACACATCGGCTAAAGTCAAAGCTTCGGCAACAGGGTAACAAGGACATCGGCTAAGGAGGACGACACTTGACTAAGTTGTGCCAAACCTTTGCCGGGGTGTGCCACACCTTGGTCTAGGCCATACCTACCCCAGGACGAAGATCACTAAGTGCAAAACATCTCGGCCTAGATGATACACTCCTCGGCCTTGGTTTCGAACACCTCGGCCCCAGATAGTGACATCTCGGCAAACATGCCCAGGGTGAGGATGGGGGTCAACCAAGTGGTTCCAAAATAGTTCTAAGTACAAAGGTTCAGAGGTGAAATAAGCTCAAGATGACCTCGGCTACACACCAAGTAGGGAACAAAATCATGCAAGCAACACTTAAACAAAACAAGGTAAGGAAAAACTTGCAAAACTACATAACAAGACAAGATCATGCATGAATGTATGCAAGTATGACAAGAGTAAGGTGAGGGTTGCTACAGTCTACCCCCCTTAAAGAAGTTTGGTTCCCAAACTTAAGTTACCTTGCTTTGTAAACAATTCCGGATAACGGACTCTCACATCCTCTTCCTTTTCCCACGTGGCTTCTGTGCCATAATGCTCCTTCCATTCGACCTTTACCATTTGTATCGATTTGTTTCTCAACTGCCTCACTTGCCTGTCAATAATCCTCATTGGTTTCTCCTCGTAGCCCAAATCCTCATTAACCGTAATCCCAGAATGATCAATTATATGTAGTGGATCTCGGATGTACTTCCTCAACATTGAAACATGAAACACATTGTGGACTTGGCTTAAATCTGGCGGCAAAGCAAGTTTGTAGGCAACGGGGTTAATTCTCTCAAGAATTTTGAACGGTCCAATATACTGGGGTGCTAATTTACCTTTCTTTCCAAATCTTGAAACTCCTGTCATGGGCGAGATCCTCAAAAATACATGATCCCCAACCTCGAATTCTAGCTCCCTTCTCCTCTGGTCGGCATAACTCTTCTGTCG